GCACTCCACAAAAGGAAGACAGGCAATTTTTTCCAAAGAGATTTACCACCTTGGAAACCCAAAGGGGGTCACAGTGAGATTTTTTTGTTTGTTTGTTTGTTTGTTTCATTTTGTTTTGGTTTGGTTTGGTTTTAACATCTAAAAGGATGTCCACTAATTTTATGGTAAAGGATGTTTTCGGGGTTCTCCACCCCAAAAAAAAGAGAAATAAGCCTGGGACTCTTAAGCCATGTGAAACCTAGAATGTCATTGTGTGTTGGCCATTCAGTAGGTAAAAACATAACTTGTCCCTGAAGTTTTAGTTAAGATATTTCTATTTCCTATTTTGGGTATCAATTTATCTGGCTGTTGTTGAGGTATAGTACCTTCTTAACATGTTCTCAGGAAAATTAGAGATTATCGTATAACCATTGTTTATATAATATGAAGTTAAAGGTATAAATTGTGTGATGTGCACACATGTAAATAATAGTGGGATTTCTTTTTAAATATCAATGCCTTCATGCTACCACTTGGTAAAATGAACTTTGAAGTTCTTTGTTTTGTTTTTTAATGTGACAGCATACTGAAACAGACCTATTTTGATCTATTCCTAATAATGAAGAAAAATACATTCTAATGAGATGGGAGAAACCATTGGTTTTATATATATGTGTTCCTGAATTACTTGCTCCTTCAGGCATTGACTGTGCAGTGTGTGGATATGAAGTATTGTTGATGTTAATAATTATTTAAGAAACATGGCTCTTAACAAGGCCAGATACAGTCTGCATCTTCGCAGGCTCTCCTGGTACTAACATTTTGGAAGATGTGAAATTTGATGAATGTTTACAGCTAAAGGTCACCTTTCTTCCCCACTACATCAGTCAGTTGTTCCTTAGTGCTCAAGAGTTAGTGAGAACTCAAAGACCCATGAGCAGCTACAATGTAAAGAATTTTCACTTGGAAGAGAAGAAACAAAAACATCTCAGATAAGCCTGAGAGGATTTTTATGTTATGTAAAGTATGTACTATAGAAAAAATGAAATGCTGAAGACCAAAATACATAGAGACTGCTGAAAGAGACAGTCTTTTAGGTCATAGGCTATGACCTATGTCATCATTTAAGCCTCAGGTTATTGTATTTCTTGGAATTGTGTTGTTGTTATGTGCTGTCGAGTTGTCTCCGACTCATAGCAACCCCTCCTTGGGTTTCCGAGGCAGCATCACTACGGAAGTAGATCGCTCAATCTTCCTTCCGAGGAGTGGCTGGTGGGTTCGAACTGCCAACCTTCTGGTTAGCAGTCAAGTGCCTTAGGCACTACACCACCAGACCTCCCATCTCTTGGAATTAGCTAGTCATATTCTAAGATGTTAGTGTCCCCTTTCTGTTGCTTGGAACAACAGTAAATGGCTGTAGTAAATTTGTAGTTCCAGAGCTCTCAACTGCATGAGAAGCTTTCTGAAAATCTGAGAGCACAAGGTTTCCAATAGAGCATCTGCCCTTCCACCTATCACCACAGGAATACCCTCTCTTTACAACACCTGTCCATCCAGGGATCCACTCCAGAAGATGTTTTCATGCCTTGCTAGTCATAATGTTCAGGATGTTCAGCCTTCCTGGTGGCAGTGGACAGAATGTATCAAAACCTTAAAAATGGTCAGTGACTGAAGAATTCTACATCTATGAATATATTTTAAGAAAATATTAAAAATACTGTGACAATGTCTGTTATGAGTTGAATTGTGTCCCCCCAAAATAAATGTTTTAAATCCTAACCTCTATGCTTGTGGTTATAATCCCATTTGGGAACAGGTTGTCTTTGCTATGTTAATGAGGCAGGATTAGTGTAAAATATATTTCGAGTCAGTTTCTTTTGAGATATCAGAGTGATTAAAGCAAGTGAGCAGAAGAGAGATGGGATAAGATAGATGCTAAGATCCATGGAGATCTCCAGGGAACCGGGAAGTAGAAGCTGAAGAACAAGGACCTTTGTCCAGAGGTGACAAGAGAGAGTAAACCTTAACCTAGACCCTGTACTCTTGAGTTTGAAATTCTGGCCTCCTGAACTGTGAGAAAATAAATTCTCTTCGTTAAAGCCATCCACTTAGCGTGGCATAGTGCCTAAGGCATTTGACTGCTAACCAGAAGGTTGGTGGTTCAAACCCACCAGCCACTCCTTGGAAGAAAGATTGAGCAATCTACTACTGTAGAGACACCACCTCGGAAACCCAAGGAGGGGGTCGCTATGAATCGAATCAACTCACTGGCAGTGAGTTTGGTTTTTTTGGTTTTATGGTATTTCTGTTAGAGCAGCACTAGATAACTAAGTCAACATCTTTAAAATTGAAAGCAACTTAAATGCTAATAAGGATGATTTATTTAAATAAGAATAAGGTACATAAGTATATTGGAATGTTTCCCAGCCATTAACAACTTTGTTATAGAAGCACATAGAACTAAAAAGTGCTCATGAATATTTTAAGTGAAGAAAATCAGTTGCACAACAGAATAGAGTAGCTTCATTGTTGTGCGCAAAAATGTACACTAAAATGGTAACAGTTGTATTCCTTGCTTATGTGTTGAGATTACAAGTGATTTTTGTTGTTCTTCTTTTCCCTTTCTATGGAGGAGCCCTGGTGGTACAATGGTTAAAGCTTTCCACTCCTAACCAGAAGGTCAGTGGTTCGAACCTACCAGCTGCCCTGTGGGAGAAAGATGTGGCAGTCTGCTTCTGTAAAGGTTTATAGCCTTAGAAACCCTATGTAGCAGTTCTACCCTGTCCTCTAGGATTGCTATAAGTCACAATTGACTCAATAGCAGTGGGTTTGGATCTGTTTCTATATTTTCTAATTTTTCTTCTGATTATATTTATTATATGGAATAAACTATTTAAATAGGGAAGAAAATTCTTCCCCTAATTGCTTACTTTCATTTCTGCTTATTAAGATTGAAGTTGTCAAACCAAACCAAACCAAACTCACCGCCATCGAGTCGGATCTGACTCATGGCGACCCTTCCTTGGGTTTCCGAGGCAGTATCACCATGGAAGTAGATCACCCAACCTTCCTTCTGAGGAGTGGCTGGTGGGTTTGAACTGCCAGCCTTCTGATTAACAGTCAAATGCCTTAGGCACTATACTACCAGAGCTCTGAAGTTGTCCAAGACTTTATGTTACTCGGTTCTACTGTCAACAATGATGGAAGCAGCAGTCAGGCTATCAGACGATGTATAGCATTGGGAAAATCTGCTGCAAAAGACCTCTTTCAAGTGCTGATGAGCAAAGATATCTCCTTGAAGACTAAGGTGCACCTGACATAAGTCATGATATTTTCAGTTGCCTAATATGTGTGTGAGAGCTGGACGATAAATAAGGAAGACTGAAGAATAATTGATGCTTTTGAGTTGTAGTGTTGGCGAAGAATGCTGAAAGTACCATGGACTGCTAAAAGAACTAACAAATCTGTCCTGGAAGAGTGCAGATGGAATGTTCCTTAGAAGTAAGAATGGCCAGACTTTGTCTCACCTACTTTGGTCATGTTGTCAGAGGGACCATTCTCAGGAGAAGGATATCATGCTTGGTAAAGTGGAGGGTCAACAAAAAAGGGGAAGGCCCTCAGCAAAATGGATTGACACAGTGGCTACAACAATGGGCTTAGATATAGCAAGGATCATGGGGCTGGCACAGGACGAGGCAGTGTTTTGTTCTGCCATACGTAGGGTCGCTATGAGTTGGAAATGACTTGACGGCATCTAACAACAACATGAAGTAAAAGATAACTCACACAGAAGGAAATATTTGAGAATTCATTACAATCTGGACATCAAATTCTGCCAAAATATATGTCTAATCAGATTACAATGTTGAAATATAGATAATAGAAATATTTTCATATTGTTTGAGCAATTGATAGAGAGTTGTTCCTATGATATTTTTCAGATTTAATGCAAACATAAGAAAAGTAGAATTGCCCTGGAAGTGGTAATTCACATTTAAAAAAAAAAGAGAGAGACAAGAGTAAAACTCTTGGCTGATGGAGCTGTGAAATGAGTAGTTCTTATTTAAAGCTCTATTTGAATAAGAACAGTGTTTTCATCTCTAAACTATCACCAAATTACTGGTTATAGGTCCATTTATTTTGGCACTTAAGGGTTTAATTTGTATAAGTTGATTATGAATACACTGAAATACATTATCTCCAGCCAGCTCAACAGAGATTTAGCTGTGCTTCAGTCCAGCTATATGCAAAGGAGTGTGCTAGATATACAAAAACTAAAAAGGCAAGCTTCTCTCCTCAAGTACATATCATGTTTACTTGATTTATCAGCTCTTATGGAGGAAGTGGATAAAGGGCTTATGTGGACAAAAGAGGTTCTTTCTCACCAAGTACCTTCAGAATAGTCAGAGTGCAAGGTCAGTACATCTACACACACATGCAAAGAAAGTACCTAAATATGTTCTTGTTGGAAGAAGTTTCTGTTTTTCATGAAGTCTTGGCATATGTTACAATTCCAAACAGAGAAAACTACCCAATATTCTTATCTCAAAATTTAGAAAGAAAAACATGGACAGCCACATAGATCTATTCACAGCTGATATCTGTTTGAAGTGTTTTTAGAGTTTTGTGGGTTTTTTTTTAACCAAAAGTAGAAATAGTTTGCCAAACGTTATTCTCTGACATGGTAATAAGTAGACTGTATAGTTGGGAGTGTGATCTCTGGAATCAGACTGCCTTGCTTCAATTCCTGGTCTACTGCTTGCTATGTGTGCTTTTTGTATCCTTCCTTTTCCTCCTTTCAGCCACCTGCACAAGGGAAGTGATGATGATAATACTTATCTCATTAGGGTGGTTGGGAAGAATAAATGAGATTATGTCTTAAACCTTCTTAAAACAGTGACTGACCTCTAGTAAGAGTTCAATAAAACAATAACTGCATAATGGCAGTCATACTGGTGGTAGTAAGAAGATATAATTTTTTTATAAGAATTCTTAACTCCTGTAAATTTAAAAACTTACAGCCGTGAAACACACAAAATTGCAGTGTTTTACATTGCTGAAGGTCAAGAAGACAAGTGTTCAATCCTCTCCAATGAAAGAGGGAGCCAAGCGTATGAAGACTTTGTTGCTGGACTTGGATGGGAGGTAATTCATGTCATTCTACGGGTGCTTATTGACTGTCACTATTTAAAGATGTGTATAAACTAGACATTGATTTTGTTTATTTCATTTATATATATATGTATATGTGTGTATATGTATATTAAAACAGCATGGGTAGTATTCTGGAGTTAAAGATTGTGTTAAATTTGACCTCTTTTCTTGGTTGCTTTTCAGCTGTTTATACATGAACTTTTGTTTCTCTTACTTTCCTCTTAATATTATTTCATTTGCTTTTTGTCAGAAATAGTCAGATGGCCTCACCCATCCATAGACCGTTTATAGTAAGAGAAGACAAGATGTGGGCAGAAAAGCAATGGGCTTGGCCACAATATGGAGATTAGAGAAGAAAACAATGACTTGATGGATGAAAAGATGAAGAAGGGGTTGAATGGAGTCAGATGTTGTAATACAAATAGAATATCATACCTATGATGGTTTAGATAGCAACCTGTTTCCCTAAGGTAGATACCAGGATGATTCATATGGAAAAAGTTTGTTTTTTTTTTTTTTAAATAATGCGATGACATACGGACATTTACACACACAAGCAATTGTTTATTTGCAGGAACATAAATCAGTGGGAAAATGTTGTTGTTGTTATGTGCCATTGAGTCGGACCCAACTCATAGTGACCCCTCCTTGGGTTTCCGCAGTGGTATCACTATGGAAGTAGATTGCCCAACCTTTCTTCTGAGGAGTGGCTGGTGGGTTCGAACCGCCAGCCTTCTGGTTAGCAGTCAAATGCCTTAGGTACTGTGCTACCAGAGGTCCCTATAATATAGAAGAATTCAGAATAGATAAAACAGAAAACAGTTTTCTTATGTTTCTTTTGGTTTCTCAGTTGTCTGTGCTTTGATAAACTCCCTGCATCAATTAAGAGCAAGTGTCACTTGTCTCTGAGAGCTCAGTGTTAACAAGTAGCAGGATATAGAGATGGGAATGGGGTAAAATCATGTACTTTAAAAAAAAAAAAAGTCAAGTAAGTTTATACCGGGTATGTATCCTAAAGAAGTGAGAGGCAGGGCACAAACAGATATATGCACATCCTTGTTCATCATGGCACTATTCACAATAGGAAAGAGATGGAAACAACCTAAGTGCCCATGAACTGAGGAATGGATAAACAAACTGTGGTACACACAGTGGACACTATGCAACCCTAAAGAATAATGAAGAACTTTTAAAACATGACACAACGTGGATGAACTTGGAGGACATTACACTGAGTGAAATAAGTCAGTCACAAAAGGACAAATATTGTATTCGTCCACTATTATAAAAAAAAGTCAAGGAAGGCTTTATACATAGAAGGAAAATTTTTATTGGTTACCAGGGATGGGAGGGGAGGGGAGGATAAATTTCTTGATAGGTTGGGGGTTGGGTTGCAGGGAAGCTTTTGTTTGGGGCCATTGAGTTTATGCTAATGGTGGTGGAATATTTTGGAAAAGCATAGCAATAACAGTGACATAACATAAAAAATGTCATCAATGTCCCTGAGCTATAAATGGAGAAGTTGTTATGTTGGCAAATGTTCCTATAGAAATACTCCTTTGAGTGCTCCCTCACCTCAGATATAAAGATTACCATACTAGCTAATTGAGAAAGCAGAAAATCTTACAAACTCATCAGTAGGGAAACTCTCTCTGTGTTTGTATATAGTGGGTGGAGGATAGGGAAGAATGGAAGAAATATGCATCCAACTTTTGATAGTGGTTTTCTTTGGTCAGTAGGATTAAGGAGCAGTTCAAATTTTCAGGTTCTATTTCTTTAATATTTTAATTTTGACTAACTTTGTGTTACATTTATTTGTAATCAGAAAGACAGACATAACATTAATTAGAATTGTTTTTAATCTATATTCCTGTTTAGTGAATAAGAACAGCTCAATTTGATCTTCATTCTTTTTTCCCTTTGCAACCTCTACCAGGTGGACCTCTCAACTCACTGTGGGTTCATGGGCGGTCTACAGCGCAATGGCAGCACAGGTCAGACAGCCCCCTACTATGCTACCTCAACTGTGGAAGTGATTTTCCATGTTTCCACTAGGATGCCATCAGACTCAGATGATTCACTCACCAAAAAGGTAAGCAAAGGGCCTCCTCAGGGACCGTTCTTAGCCTCCTTCATTTGTAAGTGAGGCTTTTCTGGAACTGGAGGGAGGCCATGGGGTAGAATGAATAAGACTGATTTCCGCTGGACTCCAAATCAGTTTCATTCTTTCTCAGCCTACAAAAAAAAAAAAAAA